TCAGAGGGACGGAGCCGGAGCCAGAAGGGAGTAGGAAGGGAAGGAAACCCAGCATTAGAGGTCGCTTTGTCCTTGTTGTGGGATTATGGGTTTTTTTCTCTAAGTGTTTAGTATGTTTATTCTTCAAATTTTTTGCAGTCAGCACATAGTACTTTAAAACAGGAAACAAAATAAGATATGCAGCTATTATTTTAAGAGCCTGAGTAGGTTTTTAGGAGGTCATGGAAGGGGGCAAGTTGGAAGTCACAAGTGGAATTGGAGTAAAGAACTCTGTATTCAATCTTCCCTGAAACTGAATAAGTTTTAAAATAAACAAATCCCATAACTGGAAAAGTACTAAAAGTCCTTAATGTCTTTGCAGCTTGTTTTGGGTTTCTGTGTAGTGAAAAACTCAGGCGTGGTAATATCCGAGTCAAGGCTATGTGTCCGTGCTTCCTTACCTAGGGTGTTTAGAATCCTAAGGGCACCTGTTGATAAGGTAGTGGATTTAAATATAACTCNCACGTTAACTCCCAGGCATTGTGTAGATAGGACATTTCTAATTCAGGTTTGTGACACTCGGAGATGCAATCTGCCACATGAAGGAGGGACTGAGTGCCGAGATGAAGGTCTGTGTACGCAGTCCTGCTCGCCTGCTGAAAAGGGAGTGTGGGCTCCGGCTTAGCTGACCTGGTGTTTCACTTTTCAGACAGTTACTCTTCCTGGGCTATTCTCAGCGAGCTCCAAAGCGGAGACTCATCCAAACCTTAGCGCTTTGCCAGTAGTTATTTCTACTTGAGAATTTCACTTGCTATTTCTTTCATTTTAGTGTACCTTTTTAATTTTCTTTATTGTTTATGATCAGAAGACAAAACTCTCTCGATCTGAATAAAAACACAATCCAGCAATGCTCGAATAGGAAACCTCCACCTGGAGTCCTCCTCACGTGCAAATAACACCCTACCATCCTAGACTTCCAGCCCAGTTCTCGGAACATCTTCATGACAGGACAGCACGCGACGGTCAAGATCCAATTGGTTTTACCGTGCAAGTGTTAGAGAAGCTATACTCTCCAAACGACAAAAATAAGCTTCAGTGGGGTCTTTGTTCCTGGTGTCGAGGTCAGGAGGGGCGTTTGGTCAGAGGGACGGAGCCGGAGCCAGAAGGGAGTAGGAAGGGAAGGAAACCCAGCATTAGAGGNTGCAGACATGGGAACCCTGGTGCGGACACGGAGAGCTTTCTGCTTCTCTGTCCTCCGGTCACCTGCAGACAAGATCCAGGGAGTGCTCTGCTGGTCCGCACTGACTTGCGTGCGCATGACTTAAAATGCAGCGGCCCCTCCACCCAGACCACACTGCAGCAGGTGCTGAGATCAGAGCGTGTTTGCGTGAACCCGCTGCCCGAGTTTCCAAAGGAAGGAAGGCACGCCCTGCCATTGTACATGAAATGAAATGCCTCCTCCTGTCATTCTAGCCCTGGTTGCTGACACTGTGTCCTTCTGGATTTATCCCCACTGTCGTCCTTGTCAACAAAAATGTGTGTTTTTCCATGTGCCAGGTACTGTCAAAGGCACAAGGAACACAAAAATGCACGTGATAAATGTTCAGCCTCCCAATACCTCGGAATGGACTTAGGATGCAGCAGGGTATGTGCAGGAGCAGATGGGAAGAGGGAAAGTGGCCAGGGAGGGGCTGGGCAGGTGGGTGCTCGAGGGCAGGGGAGCTGCAGGGCCACGCGTGTTCTCACCA